TGTGTCGTCGAGTATAATATTGCACTCGATGCGACTCCTTCATCTTCTTCCCTGTCTCCGACGGTGTCGGTTTTTTCTATTTTTACACGCGTTTTATTCCGTTATTAAGACACTGTACACGACCCTGTTCTCCTCCTCCTCCTCCTCCTTTTGCTGCTCCTCCACATCGTTTCCTTTGATTCACCGATCGGTTTAATCGGTTTAATTGATCGAGCGCGTCTTATTACACAACGCGTCCTATAAATCACAATCATGCTCGAAAATCGCGCTTCTTCATAACGTCAGTTTGTTCGCGATGCGAGGGAGCAACGTCTTAATTAGAGGCGGGTTTCCGGATGGGCGCGACGGGAAGCTCTCCTACCCGAGAGCCAATTGAAGAAAGAGTTCAATCGGGAAAAATACGATCGAGGTGCGCGATTGCGAGCATCGAATGCGGAGCAGGAAGGAATGATTAATGGTGGCTCGCCAACGGAGCGACGCGTCTATGAGAGATCTGTAACGGAGTTACAGATCTCGAATCAGTTATGACTAATTCCGACGCGTAGCCCGCGGGAATATTTTCCTCCCATCGACTAATAGCAATTGCCTTTGCAGGCGGAATAACGACTTATTAGATAACTCCATCGATCGAATTAACGCCGAGCGTGGCATGTCGAACGCGATAACGAATGACTCATCTCTCGCGTTCGTGCATAATTGCAATGAGATTAATTTCAACTGTAGTGAGAGAAAAAAATATCAAAGAAATATTTATTCGGCGGTATACTAATAACATACTAATATATAAAATATTTTTTAGGAAAGAAAGTTTGCATTTTTTTAAACTTTTAGTAAATATTAGTACCCAATGAATAAGTATTTTTTTTTAGGTGTATGTATCTTTTCTCTTATAGTGTATGTATACGAGAGGAAGTTAATTTCATTAACAGTTTCATTAACAATTTTAGAAATGAAAGGCTCTGCTGAAGTCAGAGAAAATGGAAAAAATATTGAGTCTTTAAGAGCCAATCATAGCTTGGTTTTAGTGCTGTAAAATACAAAATATATCTGACTTGAATATTACATGAGATGAATATATGCTTATAAAGGGTCAGTATTTCTTAACTTCATTAATTTAATGAAATCGATAAGTTCGCCATAACTCCGAAATCGTTGAAGTCAACTTGAGCGGTTCCGAGTGACACTTCCTCATCCAGTATATGGCTTATCGATTTATCGATATTCGGGTATTACCGTAAGCATTCCTAAGTCACGGCTGCGACGCGACGACGACCGCGAGCGCGTAGCGGCTTGATCCAACGACCAAGAGACGCGAACCTAAGTAAAACGACCTTGCACAAACAGCGCGACGAACAGCGGCGGTGTCGACGACCGCTTGTTGTGTAGTATAGCTCGTGAGAGATGCAACCGGCAGCGCCTTTCTACAGCCTTGACTGCAACCTCCAGTTCGCGCGTTGCTCGCGCCGTGCACCAGCCTCGTCACGTGCGGGAGCGTGCATCCTGTGACAAGCGCGACAAAAGCGCGAACAATGCGTTCTCCCCGCTGATCTGCGCGTAATGAGTTGTCGATTAATAAGACGCATTGATGACTCCCTCTCTCTCTCTCTCTCTGTCCATCTATCTATCTATCCATCTATCTATCTACCTCTTTCTATCTTACTCTTTCTCTCCTCCCTTCCCTCCCTCTTTTTTGTATCTTTTTTTCTAAAAACGCAACGTGCGCCTATTGTACGCCTCTCGCGCGCACTCATTACCGCTCCGCTGGATAATAATACGTCGGCTAGTAATTTAACCTTGCGATAGAGAGCGCCGTGCGTTTGCGCGATGCGCGGCCACGGAAAATTTTGCGATAATTTTTGTGATAAACGGAATAATATAATATGTCGCGACAAGGACGACGGTGACGTCGACGACGAAGCTCGTCATGTTGCGTTTACGTTACTAATTTACGGCTCTTGGATTTACGCTCCTCGGTATTTCGACGCCAGATTTTTATATTTACTGCGCTGCGCAAGGCTTCTCATTACCGACGTCGCTGGCGTTAAATACCTTGTCATGTTTCATTATTATAATTGGATATTGAATAACAATTTACAATTATGATTCGATCGTTAGCGGAGAACTTAGCAGCCGCGTTGCGTATCGTTCGATCGGATTTTTGCTTAATTAAGGGAGGAATGACCGACTGCGTAATTAAACATACACGGAAGAGACGTTCGTGTGTGTCAAAAGCGTGAAAAGCGGGAGTCGGACGTCATGTGATTCGGTCACATTGCTTCCAGCGTGGAATTTGTAATTTATGGACGTCCAGGCTTTCGCGAAATTAAACACCCCTCGATAACGAAGGTATATCGGTATTGCGAAATAACGCAATCGTGTCACGCCCACCTCAAAACGAATCCCCTTGAGTTCAATTCGCACTCGCACACGTCTGTCTAACGAGAGCAAACACGAGGCTCAAAATGATTTCATGGCGCGCGGTTGATCTACTACCGCCGTTCGTTTTCACGGAGACGTTTCCAGCCGTGACGCGCGTAGCATTCGAGCGTCGCGACGCCTTCGTCGCGCGTGTGATTCGCGCGATACGGGCGATCCCTTCGTCGCGAGTCTGTCGCGAAAAGAAGAGAAGAAAGGAGCAGAGAAAGACGCAGCTCTAACGGGAGTATTTAGTCCGCGAAGTGAACTGCCTGTCCACACGCGAGCGCATGACGTGGACGGATGTCGGAGTGAATTGGCGCAATGACCATAACCGGGGCCCAACGTACCTTAATGCACGAGCATTTTTTTCCCCGCCCGTGTTAAGCTGGCCGCGGACGACCTCCGCGCTCGCCGATGAGAGACTCTCTCTCTCTCTCTCTCTCTCTCTCTCTCTCTCTCTCTCTCGGGACGGCTTGAAGAAGATTCGCTCGAAATCATGAAAAATCCAGCGACACGCGAGTCCATCATCATCGGAGCATTCGCGCGACTTTGCGTGTACTTGTCGCGTGTGTCATTCCTCACAATTAGTCCCTTCGCCCCGTTAACGAGTGAAATCCGGATACCGTGTTCGCGCGCTTGCTGATGCGGTTTCGACGTTGTCGATTTCCGACAACAACCCTCGCCTCGTTACAATCTCGCGCGAATCCCGTCGCGGAAAGAAAAGAGCTCGTAGAATTCACGTGTAATATGAATGTTGGCTGAATGTTTGGATGAGGCCTGCCGAAGATAAGCAGACTTTCTGGCTATTATAATGAGATATTCTGCACGAAAAAAATATTTTGGTTTGATTAATTGAATTTCTGATAAAGCGTGTGCCATTTCAGTCAAAGTTACCAGCAATCTGATTGAATTAATTCTGGTGAATAATAAGGTCAGAGCGCGCGATGTATCCATCCCATCGCGACGACCTTGCCTCCGTTTCCAGCGTGATATCGGCGGATTTTTCTGCCAACCCGAGGACGGTAATCTTCGGAGGATCCGTCGACGAGGATAATACGATCTCACGACTCCCCGGGGTGCGACCGCATCGCGGATAAGTAGGCGACTGTCTGGATTGACGTCGGCGACCCGGTGGTGATAAGTTTGACGCAAAACGGTTGCGAAGAGGTGACACGATGGCGACAACAGCAGCGACAGCAACGGCGTTATGTAGAGTCGCGCCGACAAAGAGACATTTAATGACGTCGCGATCGCGAGAACCGCGCTACGTACTTTTCACTCGTATTCCGCGGAGTGCGTTCGTTCCTTTCTTCCCTCGCTCGCAAACGACTCGTCGCGAACCGTACGTGCTCCGCAAGGCGGATGGCCTCCCCCGCGCGAATTATGCACGCGTGCACGTGGCCACGTGCGTCGTGCACTCTCAGGTGACATCGAGACGCCGGTCACGATCTTGCCGTCGCGTTACCGTCGAAGGACGAATTCGCGATCGGCTACGCCTGCTGCACTATGCAAAAACGATCAGTCGATGCGACTCGAATCAAATTGAAGCAACTCAATTGTGAAGGCTGCAAATGGCGAGCGGATAAATAACTGCAGCGGATTCTCTCGGCAGAAATTTCGTCTTTCCATGACACGCGGAAAAAGGTGAAGATTTCACTGTCACTAATCGCGATTCGCTGAAAAAACCTCTTTGCTGCTGCAACTGAAACTTTTGCTATTGTTGCTATTTTGCACCGGTTTCATAGCTAAGTATATGTCCACTAGTAGCTACACTTTTCGTAATGTGACCAAACCTCCCGTTTTTACCGAGACTGTCCCGGTTTTTCACCCCTTGTCCTAGATTTTTTCGACTGTTATTCGAGACACCGATTTGTCCCGGATTCGGTCAAACTGTCCTGGTTTATCTCGTTTCAGAGGATTTTTGAAATGCTTCTGACAAAAAGAAAAAGCTCCTCAAGGAAATTTAGTTACTCAGCTCTGCTAAGTGCAACAGTAGTACTTTTTCTTGATTTTAAGTAAAAATAACAACAATTTTATCTTAGCAATAGTTTCTAGTTTTACTGCATGCAGCATGCCTTCATCTTTGTTGAATTATTTTTCATATGTCTATAAATATAACATTGTTTCATATATATATATGTGCATGTATATATATATATATATGTGTGTACAATTTGCATTTATTCCCCTCCCCCTTACTCTACACATTTATGAAATGTCCCGGATTTGAGGCTGGAAAATTTGGTCACCTTACTTTTAGGTATCCATATGTTACAAGGAGATTTAACTACCACACACAGATTCTTGCTGCCACAGCTCTTTTTCCGTGCATTAAAACTACTAAAGTAGTCAAAATGAGAGATCCATTCCAATTTCTTATAAAAATTACTCAAACGTATAACGGTGCACTTTATATTCTCAACTCTTGGACCTTAAACGGAACTAGATAAAGTAAATAAAGATAACAAAAGAATATCTCAGTGATCGCCCAAATAAATGCGCGCTCAACAAAGAAAACGACTCGGAATTTCGTTCCCGATAAGGATCTGATGACATCATCGTTGTCATCGTCGTGCACATACCGAGTGGTATTCTCGCCGACGAACTGGGACTTCTCGGTGTTGAATGGAGTGCCGAACGTCATGACAGAGCAGACAGGCGGACGTCGCTGCGAGTCTCCGGTGTCCAGGGTGTTCTTATCAGCGGTGCGACCGCCGAAGAGCCCGGCTAGTCAGCTGACCGCGCGATGTTTCATCGCTTCGGCCAATGTGCGCATAACGGCGGGGATCTTGCCGTGTGCCGGCCGACTACTGTCCTCCTCCTTCTTCTTCTCCTCCCACGCGACCACGATCGGCACTTTTCTCACTTGTCTCTCGAGTTTAGCTCCCGGTGCGTGTATCTGTATATGTGTAAGTATGATGTGTGCGTGTCCTCGAGAGTTAATCGAGAGGACGCGTTCGCTCACCCGCTCCTCTTCACTTGTTCCTCTCTTTGCTTATTCCGGAGCCGCGGTGTGTCCAACGGGAACAAAGTGTGGAAGCTGATTTCTGGAACGATCCGGTTTGGTCGCAAACACACGAACGAACGACGCCGCGACGAGCTTCTCCTGGAATCCTCTCGTGCGTTCCTCTCGGGGAAAATGAGCGAGCGTCCCCGATTCGATTCGAAGAGCGGAATCGGAGAGTCCGCTCGGAGCCCGAGTCGCCTTCCTCTCGGCACGCGCACGAGGCGGACGCCTCTCCGATCCGTGCGTATATGTGTGTGTGTGTGTGTGTGTGTGTGTGTGTGTGTGTGTGTGTGTGTGTGCGGTAACGGTATATCGCGAGGAGACGTTCGGAGATTTACCGGAGCGAGCGAGCGAGGTGCAACGACCGGCTGATCGCGTTCGCCGTGGCGAGTTGTCGCGGCTCGAGTTGTCGAGCGCGAGCTGCTTCGCAACTTCGACCGGACGCGGCGTAACGACGCGTCTTCGTCGTCGTTTCGAGCTGGGTGTCGAATTGATGAGTATCCGACTCGAACTGTGCACGATCCGTCTCGATTTGGTTATCCTGGTTATCTGGCTGCGATTCAAGTCGCTCGTGTCAATTGACGTTCACGTTCAATTTCGTTAGCAGATACGCGCACGAACGTCTTCGTCGTCGTTTCGAGCTGGATGCCGAATTGATGAGTATCCGACTCGAACTATGCACGGTCTGTCTCGACCTGGTTATCTTGATTATCCGATCTCGATTCAAGCCGTTTGTGTCAATTGACATTCACGTTTGACTTCATTACCAGATGTAAGCGAGCGTCTTCGTCGTAGTTACGAGCTGGATGACGAACTGATGAGTATCCGACTCGAACTGTGCGCGGTCTGACTCGATCTGGTTATCCTGGTTATCTGATTTCGATTCAAGCCGTTTGTGTCAATTGACATTCACGTCTGACTTCATTACCAGATGCACGCGAGCGTCTTCGTCGTCGTTTCGAGCTGGATGACAAACTGATGAGTATCCGACTCGAACAGTGCACGCTCTGTCTCGATTTGGTTATCCTGATTATCTGGCTTTGATTCAAGTCGCTTGTATCAATTGACATCCACGTCCGATTTTGTTACCAGATGTACGCGAAAGTGTTCTCGCGTCAACGTCTCGCGTCGTGTGTCTCCCGATTCCTCCCAAAATAAGGTAACTTAATGTCGCGGCAGTAATCTTATGTCGCTCAAAAGGCCGTTAATTAAGCCTCAGAGCGCCGTTGATTAGATATTCGGAGGCTGCGTAACGACTTAACCACATCAGTCTACTGACTCGTCTTGGTATCACAGATATTCGCCTTCGCTTCAACTTGAGAACGTCTCTTAATCGCAGTACTAATTGCGATATCGCCTCGATTAGATCCGTCACTATTCAGCCTGCGATTTTGCGGACTCTCTGTCTTTCTGTCTCGCTGACCTATTTTATCCCGAGCTGGATTCCCGTCTCGCTATCGGGCCACGGAAGAGCGTAATCCTTTATTCAGCTCTCCAGCTCCTGGCTGCTGCCGTTCTCGATTCGATGCTGACGCGGAAATCGAGAAACGTCTCGTCCCGTTTCGTTATAACTGCTATTCAGACTTCCCGTCCGCACAGCATCCGCACTGCCTCGAACACCCACTCGCGCTCGAATATTTCGTTGTCGGAATAGCACTCTCTTCCTCGATTGATCTCGAGTTTCTCAGTCTTGCTGCAATATGTGCCTTCTGTTTCCCGTCAAATTACAGATTCTCCTCTCGTCTGCGCGCCAATTATCCCTGTCCTAGTCTCCCTCACAGTTCCCGATCAGACTCGATCTCGGGATCTGTGTCTGGTAACAAGAGCACCGCGTAGCACCGAATAATCCTCCTTGATCGCGCGCAATCTCCACCAGTGCTCGCGACTCGTCTCTCACGGTCGTGGTCGCGATTTTCGCCCAACAGGCTCACAGGATTCTCGCGCACTCGACGTCCGCCAACGATGACGACGGAGTGTCGCGCGGAGTGTTGTCGTCGCGATGAAACAGCGTCGTCGTCGTCGTTGTCGTCGGCTTCCACCTGCCGCGCGGCTATTCGCTCGCTCGCTCGCTCGCTCGCTCGCTCGCGCTCTCTCGGAGTAACGATCGCGCGCACGAAGCCGCGGCTAGGGATACGAGAGAATGAAGAGGAGAAAGAGAGAGAGAGAGAGAGAGAGAGAGAGAGAGCGAGGGGGAAGGGAGAAAGAGAGAGAGAGAGACACACACGCACACACACAGCGATGGGCAAGAGGGAGACAGAAGGAGAGCGGAGGGGAGAAAGAGAAGGAGCCGAGAGGGATCGACCGTGGCCGAAGTGCAGCGAAGAAGGTTGGCAGCAAGGCTGTACACACACCCGGGTACTACTGGTACGCGTCGCGCCTGGCACCCGACTGACTGCGAGGCGGCTGCGAGGATGAAGCCAGACGACGCGGACGTGGCTGACGCCGCGGACTCCGCCGCCCCCACCAGCCGCCACCTCCGACATCGTCATCACCACCCCCGGCGGCCAGGCGGATGGACAGACGGACGGACGGACGGGTGAAGCGGCCACAGCGCACAACGTTGTGTCCCAGCACCGCGGAACCATGCACGTAATAATATCTTCTTCAACCCTCAACGTCGTTGCATCGTTCCTCGACTTCCGCCTCTGAGCGAGCGCGACGAGGGACGTGTGTCGGTTAAATTATAAAGTGACGTATGGACAGACACGTGAGAGAGCGAGCGAGCGAGCGAGCGAGACACGTCGCGACACCCCTGTTCCGTTTCCCGAGATATCGTCGTCGTTTTTCAGCCCTCCACGTTTGCTGATCTCCCGAAATAATTGGCGGATATGGTTATGTCGACACTCGTATCCGCGAGCTGCAACGATCTGCTGTGCAGACGCGTCGATCCGGAGTGAAATGACTGTCCTAGACGGATAATATGATTCTGTGTTTTAGGGAAAACACACGAACTGAGAGTTTCTGCTAATGAAAGTAGCGCCTGACGATAAAATCCAATATCTTTGCAATACGCTACAGAGGAAAACGGATAAAAAATTTGATAAATACACTGAAGGAGAAGTCGGGTAATAAAAGTGTGAGGGAGAACACACGACTGATAGTTCCTAATAGTAAAAATAGTACATATGATCTTACTTCATATTAGATAATATCTTTGTAACACATACTGAAAAAGAAATCGGGCAAAAAGGGACCAAGTATCAAGGTTACGTGAATGTGTTGCGTAAACTGCGACCAAATGAAATACCAAAAAAAAAATCGAGTCAATTTTTTCGAGGGAGCTCGTTTTACACAAACAAGAGAGAAACGCCGAAACCCTGATGAAAGAATTAGAACAGTTAGTTCGTCAACAGAAAAAAAACCCGCGCAATCGACGTTCGTTTAACCCCGTTCGAGTTGTTTCAACTGATCCTTTCTACAGAGTAACAGATAGCGCGTTGGACGGGAAATACGCGTATCAACGGTATCTGACGATAAAACTAGTATCTACTGTGAATATCCGATATAACAAATAACGTATCTCGAATGCGTGCACAACGTATTATGCATAGCTCTCTAATTTCGCGATTTACAACGGATCATCGAAGCGGGGAGGGCGCGCATTTATGCCGACATCGACGTATTTGTAAAACGGATTTTCCGCGGATTTTACGCGAACACACCGGCGTGCTGTCGAGCGCTCCCGTTGTCCGCTCGGACACGATTATGCGAGCACGTTCGGTTTACGGATACGACAACGACGTCACCGGAATAAGCGAACACCTGTTTGCTCGTATAATAGCGACACTGTCGGTCGCGAGCTTTCAGCTCCGTAGAAGCGTCGATATACCGCGCGCGTTCAGGGCGCGTTTAAATGAAAATAAGTTACGCTCGTGGGACGCGAAAAGTTACGTAAAGTACGACACCAGCGCGGTGACATCGTGTGTCAACGCCATTTCGCCGTATTTATTATTCCATCGGAGCTGGACGCGTACAACTCGGCCCTTCCCACCCAAGCTCATTGATTAACGATAAATGAGCCACGCTCGGAGAGCAATGGCTGAAAGATTCATGTCCAGCGACACACACACACACACACACACACACACACACACACACACACACACCTGCCAGCGACGTCATCGTTTCGACGTCGTCGATCGGTGTCGCGTTTGCATCAATGCCGTCAGAGCGAATGAAAGTTTGCAGATGCGTCGGGAGAAAGAATTTTCCCGTCTTCACGCGAAATTCAGTTCACACAGCCGCGAGATCTATCCCAACTCCGTTAACCCCTTCCTCGCTGCCGATCACGAGAATTCTCGTCGTCGTCGAGTGAAGGAGTTGAGCGCACTCGCGGCCGATTATTTCAAGCGGAGAGGCGATCGTGACTGATCTCGCGTCGCTCGGCAAAATAATACTGTGTCTCCTCGAGGAAATCCCGAGTTGGAACTTTTGGCTCGGAAACGAACGATCCGAGCCCCCAGACGACCAAGGCACGGGCCAAGATAAATCAGAGCGAACATGGTACTTGTGACGCAACGCGGCTGTGGGATCCGTCGGGTGTCCGACGTCACGCTATTATTTTCAACTCTCGATATAGAACCTGCCGAAGCCTGACCTATCCCTGAGACACCGAGATATTTCCAAACGGATGGATTACAGATCGATAACACGAGCTCTCTTTCTCTCTCTCTCT